TATAAATACTTGGCTCCATCACACGTTCAAGGGTCTGGCTTTTGGAGAGAGAGAGAGAGAGAGAGAGAGAGAGAGAGAGAGAGAGAGAAATATCAAGAGAGAAAAGGAAGTTGAGAAACCTTCATAAAAATCCAGATTTCTCATACACAAAAAAACCTTTGTTCTTCCCTTTGAATCAAATAACACAACAACTATTTTGTCACCCTTGCTGACTCAGAACATCCAAAGGTAGCCACTCAAAGCTCCAAGCTCACGTTCCAGGTTCAAGGTAAGTCTTTCTGACTTTGCATCTTTTTCATTCAGGACATCATTAATATGTAAATATCATAGTATTAATGTTGTACATATCATTGCATAAGTAGAAAAACTGTGGATCAAAATTTCTTGATTAAGGCTAGGCTCAGGATCAGGATTAGAACTTCTGTAAACTGTTGTGCTATTATCCTTCTGACTTGCTGATTGTTGAAAACTTGAACAGATTACTGATGTGCTGATTGAGTGTTGAAATATGGCATTAAAACTTCTGATGCTCATTCATAGTTTTAACATACAAAACTTCTATGATTTTCTCACTGTTAAACACACACAGAACTTCTGAGTTCTCTTCACTGTTTTAACACACAAAACTTCTATGATTTTCTTCACTGTTTTAATACACAAAACTTCTATGATTTTCCTCACTGTTAACACACACTAAACTTCTGATGCTTACATGCGCTGATAACATGCTGAATTGCTGATTGTTTGTTTATTGTCTTAACACCATACCGAACTTTTGAGTTCTTCCTATTGTTTTGACACACACAAAGCTTCTGAGGTTTTCTCACTGTTCTAATATTCAGAAGTGCAGCACATAGCAGTCCAGAACTTCTGTGTTTTTCCTCTAACGTGTCTTGTAGGACCTCAGAGTGTACCAACTCAGAACTTCTGATACCCACTGACGTTTCTTGCTGAGTCACAACGCTCCTGACTCCAGAACTTATGATCCCTGTGGTTTCGCTCAGAGCAGCACGCTTTTTTTCCAACTCTTTCATTTATTTTCCTTTTTATCATTTTTTATATTAACCCTTTTTTTTATTAACATAAAAAGACATAAGAATATTTTCTTTTATTATTTAATTAACTTAAGACTAAAAAAACCATTTTCTAAACAAGTACTTTTTCTTTCTTATGTTGTACATTTCAATATGGTTGTAATAGTAACTTAGGACTTATTTTTACCTGCAATCCCCATTCGTACCCCCATCCCCTAAATATTGTAATAGCGTAGAATTTCATTTTTCACAATTTACTGTTTTCCTTATACTGTATAACAATTAGGCGTGTATGGCAAGAGATAAAATCATCAAGTAGATAACCCTAATCAAAGATTAAATGCATGTAATCCAACACACTTTGCATACATGCACCCTTAGGGTAATCTCACTTTGTTGCCTATCGAAAAAATAGTCATGTCCCTCGAACATGGGCATTTTAGCAAAAGACACTCGATAAAAGATCGTAGTCCCTCGATGACCCTCGATGTTGCCTTTGGTAAAAACGATCTAGTCCCTAAACGACTTTGCTAAAACGTTCATAGGTTGTCTTCTATGACTATACAAACGTCCCAATGCTTGTCCCTTCACATCCAACGATGGGGCTTCTTACCAAATCAATGGTAAGATAGCCACATCTAAAGGAGAAGGAAAAACACATTTAAGACCTTTTGAGTAGGTAGATTCGCTCCTAGTTGCTCGCTTGCTCACAACAAAAACATTTCATACATCAACACCCTCCCTTTGAAACATTTTCGAAAGACAACACTTTGTACGCGTTCTTATAGAAAAGAGAGCCATTACAAAGGAAACCCTTTTCAAAAATCACTTTCAAAAACATATCTCACAAAAACCTCTTTGAACTATTTTTGAAACAAACACTTTGTATGCGTTCTTATAGAAACGAGAATCATTACAAAGTTACATTTTCAAAATACTTTCAAAACCCACATCACAATCACACATTCAAACAAAAGCAAGTTGATCTAGCGAGTAACTAAGAGCCCATGGATGAAAAGGGTGCTAATACCTTTCCTTTTCATAATCTACTCCCGAACTCAAGAAAACATCTCTAAAGGTCTTTCCTGTGCTTTTTCACCTTTCCTTTTCGGACAAAAGAAAAGTCGGTGGCGACTCTTGCTAAACCGCAATATTTGTGAACACAAACGCAAACACCTCAAGTCAGTTCTCCCACCGTATCACATCGCCGTACTCCTTAAGATGGAGAGGTTTCTACATACCCGGGAAAATGAGTGCCTCCATAATAGCTTGTGATAGGGGACCGCGGGGGTCGTCTTCGTCGCTTCTGTCCAGAGATCGAGAAGGCAACCTGTTGTAGTGGCGGTCGTTCACGACCCTGGTCACATGGAGGGTTACTCGGGCGGTGTGGTCGTTCGTTGTTTCCCCAGTTTCTGTTTCCTGGGGGTCTCTGCTCTTGACGCGAGGGACGTGATCTCGTCTCCCCGTATCTACGGGCTGATCCCTCTCTAACGCAGGGCATTGCCCGATTGGTCGAGGGGAGGGGCTTCTAGAGGCATCCCGTGTGCATCTCCTCAGGGGAGATTGGGAATGGTCATATGTCTGACGAGAGAAGGAGAATCATGCCTCCTATGTTTTCTGGGGGCTCTCTAAAAATCTTCGAGCGCCCTTAATCTCTCCTCTTGTGAAAAGATCAAGTAGTTTGTTTGATTTATTACCCCGAACAGCGCCCTAGTTGTGGCATCAACACCCGCAGGAACGGGGACCTCCTGGAATGCGGGCGGATGATAATTCTGGAGAGGATGATGATCGTCTTCGAGTCGTCGGGACAGTGATGACGAAGAGGTAGTCAGCCCGTCTCTGTGCTCCGAGGGGTCGGGCATGCCCCCGGCGTGGCCGTTGTTATCAGTGTTATTGTTACCGGTGTTGAGGCCAGCGGGACCAGCATTGTTGATGTCGGTGTCGTGGTCGGCGACATTATTGTTGACATCAGCGAGATGGACATTCAGGTTGTTTTCTGCCGTGTGATCAGCCATGACAGTCAGAAAGGAGTTGGATTAGCTTTTGTCTTGGGTGAATGAAGACGGGAAAACAGTGTTTCGCACAGACGGTGCCACTGATCGTACCTGACCAGAATGGACCGTCACAACTTACGTCGAGCAGAAGTTGAGAGTGAGGTGGGGGGTACCTGCAAGACACTCTGATGCCAAAGTAAGTTTCAGGGAGAGTGCAAACAAGTGTGAGTATGAGTATGAGAATGAATACCTGACCCTCTCAAATGAGAGGGTATTTATAGCCCTCAACGCTGGGCCAAGATCCCCATCGTTAGGCCACAATGAGGCCCAATAATAAAGAATGTCAAGACTTACGTGTGTATGAAGTCCAGCAAGTGGACTTCCCCCTGGTTAACTGCTCTGTGAAAATAGGGGTTGGACCAATGATTTTCGGAGGACAGTTAAGATGACTATGATATGGAGACGTGTCCACGTTTTTCAACATATGTTTGGAGAGTTGCTAAACGGTCCCCAACTTAAACTGCTTGCTTTTGAACCTTATACAAAAGTGTTGAATTGGACCTTCAGACTAGGAGACAAGTGTAGACTCAGTCCAGATTAATATATATATATATATATATATATATATATATATATATATATATATATATATATATATATATATATATATATATATATATATATATATATATATATTTGCTATAATAGATCCACTTGTTTTTACGAAGATTTAATTATTTTTTAATTAAAATTTGTTGAAACATATATTTTATAAAAATAAGTTGATGTATTATGACAAATTTCATAGAAATTTGTTATAATATAATTATTTATTTTTATAAAAGTTTATTTTAACAATATGCACATTAAAATATATTAAAATAAATCTTTATAAAATCAAGTGGATCTATATTAACAAATCTCATATATCATATATATATATATATATATATATATATATATATATATATATATATATATATATATATATATATATATATATATATATATAAAATCAGAAAGTGGGTTTTTACTTCAAAAAAAACAAAAAGAAGAACAACGCGTTCACAATTACAGTGGCACATTCCGTAAATTCATCAAACTAAAAGGCCATTTTAATTTCCGTTTTTAAATTCATCTATTTGGTCAACTTTAATTTTTATTTAACTCAAAAGACAAAGAACCTGTCAGTAGTTGGGAAAATGCAATGGTTCTATTCTTAACTTTACAGCTTTAAATATTTTTTTAAATCAAAAACTTTAATTAAATAACTAAACAAAATCCCAATTTCTTTCCTTTTCAAAAATGCAACCTATTTTTTAATCTATTCAAATTAAGTATCTGCATTCACAGTCATTTATTAATTCCACTTTATTAAATTTCCAACACGGACTTGAACCATTTTCTTAACCAAAATTTATAATATCAATTTTTCAATTAAAATATTAATTCATAATTAAAATCCCAATATTTAATTACTTTATTTTAATATTTATTTAATTTTCCATATTTTTTTTATCAACTTTATTTATTTACTCAACCTTTTCCATCAAAACCCTAATTTCATAAATTTCATAAATCAGTTTTCAGATTTTCTTAACCAAAGTTTTTATTTTTTTTCTTTGTAATTTTAGAATTTCTATAATTTTTTTCTGGTAATTTCAAAGTTTTCTGTGTTCTCTACAATGGTGCAGATTTGAGCTACGGGTTTCTCGGAGACCAAGGTCAACTGCTTCAATTCCATTTCTAGGTCTTCAATTTTCAACATTTCTTACAAAAATTGCTGATTTTGAAGTTTAATCTGTGATTATGAAATTTTCTGCATCAAATTCTGTTTTTTGAAGTTAATTTTGAATTGTTCTGAGTTTTTTAGTGTGATTAGGGTGTGAAAACGTTTGAATCTTGAATGGTTAGGGTTTAAACCAAATTTAGAAGTGTTGGGTTTCTTAGTTTTTCCATGATTTGCATAAAAATGGAGGAAAGAGAGAACTTCGGTGCTGTGAATGCAGTGGCGAGTAATCAAGTTCCAGTGAGCTTCGTTGCAGCTCCCAGGATTGAAAACAATTTGGATTTTTCCATGGCAACGGTGCCGGTGTCGATGCCGGTGACGGCGGTGAAGAAGAAGAGGGGGAGGCCAAGGAAGTATGGGCCAGATGGGAAGCCTGCTCCTGGGGCTGTGACCGCGCTTTCGCCGATGCCGATTTCTTCGTCGATTCCGTTGACTGGAGAGTTCTCTGGTTGGAAAAGGGGTGGAGGGAAGCCTGTTGAATCTATCAAGAAATCATCTTTTAAGTTTGATTTTGAAAGTCCACCAGGACAAGGTATTATTTATAGCTTTTGGATCTTTTCAATTTTAAGTTTGAAATGTTTTGAAGCTTTTAGTTTTAGTAAGTCTTTGTGTTTATTACTGTTGTATTTATGTTTTTAAGATTTTGTTTTTAATGTTATATATTTGCAGTTTTTAAGAAATGATGAATCTAGTCTAATGGCTCTTGTCATTTTCCTTATAAATAGAGGAATAACATAATTGAATTTTTATTTAATTTTAATTTTTGGTTTGAATTTTAATTGATATGGAGGTAGTTATTTTCTTTGATATGTGTTTTTAGTATGCAATTTTGTATTTTTTTCTTGTGAATTTTGATTGAGTTTACATTTGGAGGGTGGGGAGTTGAGTGGACCCATAACTGAGATTCCTTTTCAGATTGAGTACAAATTGTGAGATGGATGTGGATATTTTTGTGGTTGAAAGTGAGTTTTTGTGTATGTTTATGTTTAGGGTAGCATATGATGCTTCTTATTTTTATTTATGAGAAGAAGTAAAGGATTGCATAAATGAAGGGACCAGCTAGAATAGAACTGGTCTAAATCTAATCTAATAATTAATTTTAACAGCTTGTTGGCTTATTTGAATAATGGATTGCTATATAGGAACTTATCTATTATTATGGATACTATGTGGCCTCGTAGAACGGTAGTATCAAACAGTATTGCAGTCAAATGTGTTGAAATGAATTTTAAATTTCGAGGGGAGGTTTTTGGTCAAAGGGTGTGTTTGGATGGAGAGAATCAGAGAAGGATTTAGGTAGAACCTTGAGTAAATACCAAAAAAAGTCATAAAACAAACAAGTTTAAGCATCTAAAGGTTTAATGTCTCTAAAAAATTGATGTTTATATCCTTGTATTAGAAGAAGAAAACCCTAAAATATATTCCTTCAAAAAACATAAAAATTTAAAATATATGTTTTTCATTTTAAGCATTTATTATCTATTGGTACCACTGCCATTTTGACCTGTAAAGCGAGCGTAGCAGCACTCCTCTACAGAACAGGCTTCCAATAGCAGCCGGTAGTCTCTATGCTGTTCTATTTCTAGCATTTTAAAACAACGAAATAAATAGAAGGAACAAAAATATTACTACTTAATACTTCCTTTTCTTCCCTTTTTCTTTCTTTGTTTGGTTTCCCTTTTCTTTACCTTCCAACATCCAAATAGGCCCCATTGTGCAGGATAAATTTCACATTAATGACCAGGATGATGTGAATTATGAATGAACTGGTTATCGTTTTTATTTTTGTGAATTATAAAGGAAGATCAACTGTGGACTTCCATTATTTCATTTCCTGTCGTTTTCCATCAATTAACCTCCCCTTATGTATTTTATGTAGGAGTCAGTGTAAGTGTAGGTGCAGGTGCAGGTGCAAGTGCAGGTGAGGGAATTGCAAACGCAGTAGGTGCCAATTTCATGGCTTATATGCTTACAGTAAATTCTGGCGAGGTAATCTATTCATTCCCTTTTAATGCCTATACCCTGAAGTTAAGTTATAATGTTACTATAAGTCTACACCAATCAATTCATGTATGTATGAATGGCTTACTTAAAATGCAATTTTTTTTGTCCTTTCCTATGCTATGTTTTAGGATGTCACCATGAAAATTATGTCCTCCCAACAAGTATCGCGTGCTATATGCATTCTCTCTGCAACTGGCACAATTTCAAATGTTACACTTCGTCAATCGACTTCTTCAGGGGGTACTTTAACATATGAGGTGAGTTCAATACCGTGTCTATCTGTATAAAGAAAGAAATAATGCATTCATTTGTTTCTATATCAGATTGGAAAATATGTACCATAATGTCCTTGGTTGAGATTCTTGTACTCTACTTATTGGTTCTAGATATCATATATCTTAAAGGGAAGAAGGCTCATTTGTGAGCTGCATTTTTCTACTCTAGAATGATACTTATCCTTCTATGGCATCATTTTACTAACTTCATACCGAGTTCGTGTTCCAATTATCTCCAGTTTCATATTTCATACCGCGTGCTTTTACAGGGGCCGTTTGAGATTCTTTCCTTGTCTGGTTCCTTTATGCCAACTGAGAATGGAATTACAAGAAGCAGATCTGGTGGGATGAGCGTCTCTTTGGCAGGTCCGGACGGTCGAGTATTAGGTGGCGGGCTCGCTGGTTTACTTATAGCTTCTGGTCCTGTGCAGGTAATCCTCAAGAGTATGTTCGATAAGCGGAAAGTGTTATAATCTCTTTCCAACACTCACTATCCTTGTGCATGAATCAGGTTGTTGTGGGAAGTTTTCTTCCTAACCACCATTTAGAGGACAAAAGCAAGAAGCAGAGGGTGGGGCATAACATATCAACCATTACACATAATCACCCTCCTCCACATGCTAATCACCATAATCATATGGCTAATGAAGTAAGTTTCGGTGGTGTGAAACCTATTATGACACCTGCTGCATTTCAAGAAGAGAAAATTGTTTCTTTCAACAACAAGAACAATGCTCAAGACTCTAGGAACAATTCATCTGCGGATGACAGAGATCCTTTACCTGAAAAGGATTCTAATCATAGCCAATCAAATGCTTGAGTTGATTCAACCTCATACTACTATACTGATGCTCTCAAAATTAACTTGCCAAGACAGAATTGTGGTTGTCATTATCATGTGTCAAAAGTTGCAATGTTTAGTGGTAGGTGTTAGTTTTCCACGTTGTTGTTTTGTTCCCCCTGATGTATCTCTAGTAATATTTTGTTTACTCATTATGGTTTCAATTAGATATAGGATACTTGTTGTGCTATAATATGTATGCTGAATTAAGTGTGAGTGGATGTGCGATGTAAACTGTTATTTTGTTGTTAAAGAAGAATTTGCATATCAGCAGCTTCTTAGACTTTTACCTTCTCTTGTTGATAAAAGGCCACTCTTCTTTTTTATTAATTAGATTCTGGTATAGTTTTCAAGTAAATAAATTAATTGGTTATTATAACTGTTTATGTAACTGGAGCTATTGCCATCATCTTTTTAATATAGATACATTAGTGACTTAATTGTTATGTTTGTTTCCTGAATAAATTGAGATAAGTATCATAATTAAATATAGTTAATTAATATGATATATATAAAACCTAAATAGTTAAAGTTTAAAAATCCTTTTTTTTATAAATTATTACCCATTCTAGAGTTCTATATGAATTTCAAAGAAGTAGAAGACGTCTTCAATATCTTCCATATTTAAAACCTCAAGTCCAAGCATCAATAAAAATTTGGGCCACTTACTGATATTTTTCGAGGGAATTGCTAATCCCACCTTATATAGAGGAAAGTTACCCTTTCAAAATGCCCTTAGATTAATGCGCCATTCGTTTTACTCAAACACGGTCAAACTGAATATCATTTCAGCTTTGTATAGAATTTACTTCGAAGATACATCTTTGGAATTACTCCATGTACATCCATATATCTCTTAGTGAAATGTCGACTTTTGACAAAAGTTGATCTGGAGATGCATCTTCGTATTCTCATCAGACATAATTCGGTGATGTATTTTGGGAACCACACCAGACATAAATTTTACATTTGATTTAGAGATGCTCTAATGAATTTGACGATATATAACTTTTCTTTGTATAAATTAAACCACACACTTTTAGAATAATATGAAAATGACATATATAAGTTAATAAATTCAGAGTACATAAAGAAGTCAAAATAAAATAGAATCGAAAAATAGTGCTCCTAATATACATACTATAAACTAATGCATATGATGAATTGTGACCTCCTTTTTCCTATGCATGCCACATATATTGCAGTGCCTCCCAACCCCCTCCATCATGACATTTAGGACGTCTTTCACCTTAGAGCCATCCGAAAAAATAGTCCTTTGTTTATACTCGTTTGTCCAATCCCTATGATACAATGATATCAAGACAACACATCAACACCATAATCTTCCCTAGCCTACTCCTCCTTAAGTATCTCTTGATGAGCTGACCTAGGTGGATCTCCTAGAACATTAGATATTATATAAGGATGTGACATCCTAAAATACCACTAAATCTAGCCGTGTAGAACACTCCTGTCACTAGGAGTTAGGGTACTTGGTGCCTTATATGGTACTAGATGATAAAGATGATCATCAAACATGATATCTATAACTCTACGTGTCATAGTGGGAGGAGCATACTCTGAAGGGCCATTGGAAATAAACTGGAAGTAGTCAAATTTCTACATGACGTGCTCAGGAGGATGAGGATATGTCATACGTGAACTGCAAGTCAACCATCCAGAGTAGAAGACAATGACATTCAAGGGATGAGTCTCACGGTGATCGGCGTACGTATGAAAGTGTATATCCTTTGCTACCATGAGGTCAAGATACACTGTATGGAGACGTAGACTGGTTCCATCTGGGTGGGAGAGAATGCAGAAGCACGTTGCATATCTTCAATATAGGTTGACACATATAACCATCCGAATATGTGTGAGAAGTATTGGAGAATCTAAGTTTGGAAATGGTAAGTTTAAATAATTAGTAAAAGATGCAGAAATAAACATAGAAAAAGTGTTATAAAAATGACACTAAATGATGCAGAAATATTACTGTCAACAATGTGATGCTACATGTCACCAGTTTCGTCTTCCACATACAACCTTTGGTTAACTTGAAATACATGTAGACCAAACAAGCGTCCCCCATTGCACTCATGGATCCGCTCCAAGTCATCGAAGTGTCACAGATATATCACATCCACATATGTGACACTCTTATTCATAAAAATAGACGTGGCAAGAAAAATAAGTCATCGTCAGACATGTCTTTCAAAGTAACATGAAGAAGATATATTTTTCATTTTATTTTCATGGTTTACATCTCCGTCCTAGACATGTCTAGTAGTATGGTCCTGGTATAGAGGCAAGAATGATAAGTCGAACGAGCCTCCTCCAAACCCCTACGGGGCCTGGGTGCCTCATACGGAGACTCGGGTGCCTTCTATAACACCATGAATTAAATTAAATTATTTAACTGAATTTAGTTATATTTTTATTTGATTATTAAATAATTTCATATGCTTTTAATTTAATGTTCGGTGAATATATGAGTAGTATGTGGCATGTGGTTGGTTTGGTGGTAGTGTTAGAGAGTAATGAAAATTAATTAAAAATTAATTAATTTTATAATGAGGAGAATAATTAAAATAATATAATAATGATTAAATAAAAAAATAGAATTAGCGGTATTTTATAAAAATTAGATTATTAATAAAATAAATAGGAAATTAGAGTTAGCAGAGGAATTAGAGGCAAAATAAGTATGGCCTAATTAAGAGAATTATGTTTTTATTTAAAAGGAAAAAATGAGGGTTGAGATGTTGCCGTACGTAAAAAATTTGGAATTGAGAGGCAAGAGGCAACAAGAGAAAAAGGGAGAAAAGAGGCATTAGGAAAAAGAAAATTAGAGATCAAAGTTGCTTTGCTGGAAAGTTCAGGTACGAGAATTACTTTTGATATAGATGTGATTTATGAAGGGGAGAGAGGGATCCTCGCCCTCCTATAGGATTGTCGTATGATTATTGTGTTGTTCATGATTTTCTTGCGTGTATATGAGGAATTCATGATATATGCTATGTTGATGTATGAATTTCATGTTCTATATTATGTTGAATTTATACATAATTTTTGTTTGGAATTTTGAATTTGATTGATGTCATTGTTGTGTTCTTGGAGTTTTGAAATATAACCTGAGAATCTTGAAAAGTGATGATTATTTGATGATGGGTCTCTATAATTTGTGTTATTTGCAGTATAATTGTTATATAATTATTGTGTATCGAGTTTTGAGTGTTTGTCTTTTTATGAAATCGAAATCAGAGATTCGAAAGACCCTTAATGGTGAAAAATGAATATTTTGAGTTCCGCGACAGCGTGACGGTAATCATGTGTTATAAACAGCTTACGATCATCATGCTTTGTGATGGTCCACCCGTCACAACCAGACTGATTTGGTTCAAATCATGGGCGGTTCCAAGGCCGGACCACCCCGGCATCTGCCTAGGCTCTGATAGGGGTGTTTAAATTAAAGGTGGCAAAATGGGCGGTCGCCCCCACCCGCCTTAAGCCCGCTAAAAAAATAGAAGGACGAACAAGCCCACCAAGGAAAAATGGCCATAAAAATCTAGTTCGCCCCGACAAGGTGGCGGGTTGGCGGGCGGTGGGCTTGCCCGCTTACTTTTTTATTTAATTTTTTCTTCATTTTTTTAATATATTAAAAGTTTTTTTTTTACATTTCAATTAGTTTTTTTACTTATTTTTAGAATAATTTTTTATAAAACATCTTTTAAACAAAATTTACTTTAAAAATATTGCATATATTTACAAATAAATATAAAATAAAACATCGAGAATTGAACCTACTAGAATTAATTAAAAAATGGCGGGTTTGGGGTGGCACATGCTGAATGAATAGACATGACGGACGACAAATTTTGGTAGGACGGGCTTTGGCGGGAGGTGGTCTTTAGTGGGATGGGCTTTGGTGGGCGGCAGGTCCAAAATCCCAATCCAACCCGCCATTTTTTGGCGGGTGCACGGGCCACCCCAGCAGGCCACGACCCGTTTTTTCCACCCCTATTTTAAATTCAAACCAATCCAAATAAGAACAGCAAACCGATCCAAAAAAATCGAAAATCGCAAAAAACTGAAATTCATTAGATGTGTTTGGATGTTATTTTATAAAAACCGTTTGGTTCGGATCAGATATTTTTATACTCATTTTTTTATTAGTATGATATGTTACATGAATTTATTATTAGATGATAATTATTTTTTAAAATACTATTTATTAGTTTGGTTTAATCTATTTATTTTTATTATTTCATTTATTTCAACCATAATCGATCATTCTCATTTTGTAATATTAACTTTAATATACTATATGTTATACATTATATCAAACCTATGATTTATTAGTATTTTTTATAAATTAATAAAAATACATTTTTTAATTTGGATATTCAAAAACCGGTCCAAATTAAACCGCATTAAATTGGATCGCATTGGATTTTTTTTTAACATATCATCTAAAACCGAACTGAACCGCGAGTAAATTTATCTTTAGATTGGATGACTTTTTTACCTTAAAACCAATCCAAACCGAACTGCGGACACTCCTAGGCTCTGCCCCAAAATTTCTTTGGTGTTGGGGTAAGTTGTATGGCAAAAAAAAGCGCAAAAATTAAAACTCATAGTTAGTGAGAGACCAAAATGAATAGTGAAATCTTAGTTAGTGAGGTATTTAAAAGTTTGTCCAGACTGGGCTTTGAGGAGGAGGGTGTCTAGTGTGGATGGTGTTTCTATGCCAACTGCTTTGGAAAAATCGTTGCAGGGGTGCAACCCTCGCTCGAGCAAGTACTTTTTCATATCGTCAATCGTGGAGACCTGGTCGGCTTCTTTGTTGAACCTCTCGATGTATGCTCGAATAGATTATTTTGCTCCTTGTATGATTGCTTCTAGTGAGGCCTCTGCCTTCGAATGATAACGAGAGGCAGTGAAGTGACTTGAAAATATCTTTCCCAACTACTTCCATG